TTTTGAAGAAGTTCTTTTTCATATGAATGTTCTAAATATCCTTGATATAACAAATTGCAATTCTTCTTGAACTGAATAGAAATTCAGAAATCTTAAAATTGATTACTAAGTATTCTCTTAAAATTGATTACTAAGTATTCTTAGACTTTGAGTTTAAATCTAAGTTATTAAATGTTTTTCTTAAATTTTACTTTATTCAAAATAAAGTATAGAAGTTGTAAGCTAATCCAGAAGTTTATAAGCTAGTCTCTAACCCTAGTCATTTTTTTTATGTAGTAAAAGTGTTACTTGATGACAAGTAACATTTAAGTTTGGGGGATTTTGATACACCTAAAAAATGTGTAATTTTTCATATGCTTTTAATGTATATATTTGGTGATTTTTAATGATATTACATTTTAAAGGAAGTATTTTTCATATTTTTGATTCCAGGGACAAGAAATGAAGTTTTGGAGAAAAAGAAGCAAAAACGGTGCAATTTGGAGCAAAAACAAGCAAGAAAGAAAATTTTGTCCTCACACATTTCAATATGACTTTCTATGCTTAATCTCATTTACATTTCTCACACATTTTTGAATGAAAATACACTTTAAATAAATGTTATTTTTATGCTTATTTTGTAGGTCTATCTGTTAGGAACGCAACACAACTACAACTGAAACGGGGCAAAACAGAGCTAAAACGGAGACAAACGAAGCAAAATGGTGGAGCTGCGGAGAGTTGGCACCGACAGCACTGAAGAGCAAAAAATGACTAGAAAACAATGCCGACAGCGCCCAAACTGGCGCCGACGGTGCCCGTGACGGTCATGGATCGATTTTTGGCGGTTTTTTATGTTCTAGAAGGCTCCCAAGTGATTCAAACACCCCATGAAGCAATTCAATGAATCTAGACACTTGGATAAGGCTCTTGAATGAAGAGACATGTCTTTTGGATGAATAGATTTATCTCTTGGAAAAAAGGAGGGAATTTGTGTCTCTTTAAAAAAGAGGGCTTGACACCTCTCATGGGTATGTGTGTGTGTGTGTGAGGGTGTGTGTGAGAGAAAATATATATTTTAAAACCCAAAAGGCTAATATATTAACTATCTTAGAATAGAGATCTTAGAATAGGAATAGAAATGTAAATTTCTATCTTTTTGGAGAGACTGGCGAGAGAAGTTTGAGAGAATTTGTAAGCGAGTGTTCTAGCATTGCATAGATCAGTGGGAGACTTTGTGGGAGAGATTTTCATCTTTCTTTCAAGGGGAAAAAGCTAAGTATTATATTCTTCATTATCTTATAAATTTGTAAATACTTATCTAGTGGATTTACTTTGATGTAATGCAATTTTTTTGTTGTGTTTTCTTCGTGCTTTGTGATGTGTTTCTCTTACTCTTTCTTCTTGTTAGGAAATAGTGGCATAAGAGAATTATGCTATTATTTTCCTTTTGCTTTTCTTTTACAATGAGTAGGATTCATGTTTTGGATGTTGGGAAGCTTGCTTGAAGAAGTTATAATTATAAATGTGATCACTTTTACTTGCACTTCATTTACATTACAATAAAGGTTTGTTGTAGTGTTAAAATTTATTGTAATTCCATTAAGACCTGAGAGGGCGGAGTAATTCTTAACAAAGTGGAACCACATTCAAATTCCATGGATGGTGAAGTTCATGGGGGTTGGATGCAAATAAATAGGAAAATATACTTTGATGGTCGTAGAATTAGAGATTTTAGGGTGACAGATTAAAATCCCCAATTCGGTCATAGTGTTTAAGGAACTAAAGCAAGAGTTAGCCTTCTGAGGAAGGGAAGTGGGAGCCAGTATCCTCCTCACACTCAATTAGGGTAGAGAATTAAAATTGCTCCTATTTGGCACATATAACATTTAATGTATCTCATTCCTTTACATTATCCAACTAACTACATAAGAATAGTAGTTTTGAAAATCTTAAAATTCTCCAAACCAATTCATCCAAAAAGGGTTATCTTTAGAATTTAATATTTACATTTAGGAATAGTTAATATCCTTATATTTAAAATTCACATTTAGAAGTAGTTGCT